CACCCCCTCTTAAAAATGATCAGACTTCAAACTAAACCGTCTTTTGCTGGTGGATGAAATTTTTATGAGGTTAAAAGGAAAAAGCCCAACATCCCTTGCTCATAGGCACTGAAAATAAAACCAGTGACAATCAGAGTCAGCAAACTCGGGTAATTTGCACAATGTTTTGTTAGAGATGAGCAATTGAGAGTCAGACAAGGACTCAGCACATAACTATGTGATCTTGGTCTTAGGCAACAATGACTATTTCTCATTTTGTTTCCCTTTCAGAAGAACATATCATGTGTCCATTAAATTATTTCAAAATCAATTTTTGACTCATGAGCAGAATGACATTCAATAATCCCTAAAGTATGATTACACCAGGGGTTTGACAAGCATATAACCACTGCAAGATACATACAGTGAGACCAACTTACCTTTGATTGAGTTTAATGTAGAAATTTAGAAATGATAGTGGTCTCATTAAGGAAGTGTGAGTAACTATTGGTGTGTCAACAGGAGTCAGAGAAAGCTCTCTCTATCAAAGTCATTCCAAAGTGCTGCTGTAAAACTACTAAGGGTTTCATAGTTTTTTTCTTTTTTTCATAAAATCCAATTACATTAGCTAGCAACATGTGAAAATGTAAAAATTAGTAAACTTTTATAATTTCAAATTAAAGAGTTTTTTGAAGAGCATAACCAGTAGTAACTTAGCAGTAGCATTCTTCCTAAAGGAAACCTTGGTGAGGTCTAAGGAAATATGTAAATGTCTCCTACATTTCTTTTAAAATTATGATGTAATGTTCAGGAAAACTTCTTAGCAGGGAATAGATGCCAAAGCCTATGATTAGAATATCCCCTGCTCTTCTTAACGGATAAAGACAGAAGGATCCCCAACTGAAAATTAATAGTAAAACCATTACGAATTCAGGGCTAAGAATTAGCAGGTCAAAGGAAACCAAAAACAGGTTTGAAGATAACTGATGAACAAACATCATTATGAAAGAACAAGTGCAAGATTCTAGAGAACTATGTTGTATTTGTTGAAATAAGCCATTCTGTGTGGGCTGAAGGTGAGCTCTTGCCCTGAATGCTGTCATAGCGTGAAGGAGCTGAGAGAGCAATAACGTTATTTAAGCATTTTTGATGAGAAGGTGGTTGATCCAGTTGGAAGATTGCAGGAGAGATGTATTAGGATTTTCTAGACAAGTAGAATTGGTTTTTATAAGTATATGTAATTTTATAAATATATTTAGTTTCATTCATGAACATTAATATTTTATATATTTCTATATCATAAAGGTTTGTTTTAAAATGCTCTTTCACTGAATCATAGAATTTAAGTCAAAAGAAAACTTTCGGCCCAGAGAGAGTAGCTGTTTCATCTATGCCATTGTGAGTCACATAATATTTTGGTCAACTTCAGACTTGTATATAATACTGGTTCCTTAAGATTATAATGAAGTTGAAAAATTTCTTTGTCTAATGATCTGTAGCTTTCACAATACTGCAGTGCTGTGAATTACTTACATGTTTATGATGATGCTGGTATAAAAATACTTACTGTTCCCAGCCACTCATATAAATATAGCAAGTACAATTATGGAGAGTATATAATGCTTGATAAAATGAGCATATTGCAGGTTTGTGTATTTACCATACTACATATTTTATCTTTACTTTAAGTGTACTTCTACTTATAAAAAAGGTTTACTGTAAACATCACATGTTTGTTGCATCTCTTGGTTGTATTAAAAGGTCATGTCGAATGATTGATCAATAACTTTTAGAACTTTGTGAATTTACTTAATGATGTTTGTTTTGTAATGACATAATCATCTAATGATACATTTCTCAGAGCACAAGCCTGTTAAAAGAAAACATAACTCAGGGAGAGGGAGAGAGAGAGAGAGAGAGAGAAAGAGAGAGAGAGAGAGAGAGAAAGAGAGAGAGAGGGAGAGATTGATTTAGGAAATTGCCACATGTGATTACAGCAGCTGCCCAGGTTGAAATCTGTAGATAGTGGGCAGGTAGAGCATCCAGATAAGAGTTGATGTTGCAATCTTGAAGTTTAATTCCTTCTTTGGGAAACCTTTGTCTTTGCCCTTTAGGCGTTCATCTGATTGAATGTGTCCTAATCATATTATGCAAGGTAATCTGTTTTACTTACAGTCTATTGATTGAAATGTGAATTATGTCTAAAAATACCTTCCTGAGAATATTTATACTGTGGTTCAACCAAATATCTGTATATAATTACCCAGGAAAGTTGACAAATAAAATTAGACATCACCGCAGGCTTCTAAATGTTTGCCAGAAGACTGTATTTCAAGACACAGTGTTGGTAAATTCAGTCCTTCATTATACCAAGACTAGAAAACTTGGCTTCATCAACACCTGGAGAGGTATTCTGATCTGAAGACTGGTAGTTAAATGAGATGCCAGTTTATGAACTTGAGGTGTAACTGTCACACATATTTAAGATATTTAAATTGGTATGTTCTCTGTGTAAAGACATATCTATTTAAAAGTAATATTGTCATCGAAAATTTGCTAAGTGAACAAGAAACCAAAATGAGAGATTACACAATCCAAATATGTAGAGGCACATGTGTAAGACTGATTGAATCATTCATTTCCACAATACGAGTTTTGCTTGCAAGGGAGTTGGAATGATGCTATGTGTTTGTCTCTGGCCAAGCCCTTTTCTGGCAGACACTTAAATTCACTGAAAGTTGCCTTCTCTTCCAGGCTTATATCTCAGACCCTTGCCCCTTTGATTGACATATTTTTATTAATCATGTTGTCTTTCAAAACAGATATCCACTCTATTTCTTTGATATGAACCCACCTATTTTTGTATATTTTTTGATCCTCAAGGTCAAAAATTTTCCCTAATTATTATGCTTTTGGAACTGACATCACTTAGCAGGGATATTTAAATGTGTTGGTGAATAGACCAAGAGATGAATGAGCAACACATGAACTCTACATACAGCTTCAGGGTAGGTTCGAGAGAAGAGAGGATTACTACAGGCTTGGGAGATGTCTACTTCGGGATCTTTGTTACCTGTAAAATAAAGATCATGAAGTTAACACATGGGATTATTTTGAGACTAACACAATGCACATGAAACAACTAATAAATATATGCTAATAATCAATAATTCCATGAATTTACTTCTTCTTTACTCCTTCCCCCGCCCTGGTGTTTGTACATATATGATGGTGGAGAGTAAAGTGAACTGTTTATCTTTGATCAAGGGTCAGTGGCTCACACATAATAATGAGGGTCACAAGACTCCATTCCAGTTCTAGTAAATTCTAGACACAACCTAAAGTGTATTTGTCACCTTGGAGTTGTTCTTCTCTATATATAAATGACTATCCCAAATCATGTTATTATATGAAGGATATCTTAGTGGTGAATGATAAAACCTGAACAGCCCCATGTCTGAAATGGATGCCTGATCTATGAAGAATGTGATACAGATGGTCAACTATAAAAGATATTATCAAATAAAGTACTCCTTCCTCCAAAAGAGGAGTAAAAGACAAAGAGAATTATAGTTTTTCCTAACTTTCTTGGTATTTGTCTTCTGTGTTTGAGGCTATAAACTATTAGTAAGACTTCTAAAAAATAAATATGGATTTATAAGTGACAGCTATAAAATGAGACATTCTGACAAGATCTAAGAAGTACAGGTAAGTGTCTGATGACCTGAATTTTGATCTGATCTGAGCACATTTGGGCTGCACATCCTCTAACACTTGACTTGATTGTTCCAAACTTCAGTTTCCTCTTGCTAATAACTATCCTAGAACTCCACTGAGGATTAAGGAAGAAAAAGCCTTGCAAATGTTCATCATTCAAATATTCAAGTGTCAATTATTATCATAGTTAAATAACCTTGTAATGGAAATTTTTTTATGCATAATATTCTTTACATTTTTGTAATGCCTGACATTTGGGATCATAAAATTTTCATAAGACTTAGTAGTATATGTGTGATATGTATAGTATATTTTAAAATATTTAAAAGTATATCTGGTTGCTAAATGTAAGTTTCTTCAGTTTGAATAGAGTCATTATATTTCATATTTCAGGCTACAAATATATTTTTATCTAACTTTAGTAGCTACATAGCCATTGACTGAGTTTAGAGTATTTTATATCAAAAATAATTTTTAAAAAAGATTTTACTGTGAACCAAAAGACAAAAGATAGCATGAGAGATTCACATTCTTAATTGGTTTAGAAATTCTCAGTTTTTAGCTAGGTAAGATGGTAGTTACTGTACCCACAAATTTTTTCAAGGACTAATGCAGTCTTCAGTGGCTGGATCTTGAATTTCATTTTGCTCAGGTATTTGCTACTCTGTTGGGCAGAATCCTCAGGAGAATGATTTTGAAGAAAAGATCTGAAAGGAAAAGGGAGTGAATGAGCCTTGCAAAGAAGTGGGAGAAAATGTTCCTGGTCAGGAAGAACAAGAAGTGAGGCCGTGAGATGAGACCCAGCTCTGCAGGTTGTAGAAATATATAAAGCACAGGGGAGTCAGTCTGCCCAGGAACACACCAAGCCGAGAGGCACACACCTGACGGAAAGTCACAGCAGTGGGTTGCGTATATCTGGGTCTTTCGAACAATGTTGTCATCCCCTGGAATGCTCTCCTTCTCCAGTTTGTTCTTAAAATGTTATTCGCACTTCAGAAATTAGCTCAGATTCTGCCCCCGCTTTCCCTTACATTGGATTCTTCACCCTTACACAGTGAACACACAATTCTTGCCTTGTCTTATACTGCAATTCACTGAGAAATTTGCAGCTTAAAAACTGCTTACAATAACATGACCTCTGATGGTAAAAACTCACCCTCAGATACCCTGTGGGCTTTGATGTGCACAGAGGAAAATGTTTCCGGGACTAGTGGGGTAGCTGTGTGGCCAAGGCAGAATATGTGTCTCCTCATGCAGGGATCATTTCAGTAACCTCCAGCCTTTACTGTCTCCTGTGTCTCTAGGTCCACCATCGGCTGAGGACAGAGGTCATGCCTGTCTTCTCCTTTCTGTCTCCTCTACTGTCTGGTTTCTGGAGCTGAGCCTGTCACACTTCAACCTAGACCCCCAGGACAGTGCCCTGTTGTCTGCCTTGATCCACTCTAATTCTTCTTCGAATACACTCGAGCTACTGCAGCAGCTTTGCCACAATACAAGTGACAAGAGAATTTAAGTCTGCTGGGGTGGTCCTTAGCCAGTTACTGGCAGATAGGGATAACACTTGACACCCCGGAGTCACTCTGATGAATGAAGCTGAATCTGTCCCACTCTGAGACTTCACTTGAGATGTGCACTTGCATGTTCCTTTATCTTCTTGTTCCCAGACACACTGTGTCCTGACTCCTTCCCCCGCGCACTGAGCACCAACCTCCTTCCTCGTCCTCCAGTGTAGCACAATGTTGCTCGATACAGTGGATTGATAAGTGTTTACTGAATGAAAATTGGCTGTGGACCAACCTGAAAGCAGATAATCAATATACTGATGAATGTTATCATTTGTTTATGCAACAAGTATTACTATGGGGCAGTCTTCCATGTATTTATTATTTTACCATTTCATGAAAACAAGCATGACTCCTCTCATGAGTCACAGAAGGGTGATTCTATTTTTTTTTTTTTTTAAGCGGTTCCGAGGATCGAACTCATGACCACCTGCTTGCAAGGCAGGGGCTCATGCCACTGAGCTAAATCCCCAGCCCTGGATGATTCTATTTTTAACCTAAGGATACTTGTCATCTTTAGTTTTTTTTTTTTTTTCTATCATATAAATTGTGAAAATTTGTTAAATTTCACAGTCACCAAATCTGGTTAACACATTTAATTAATATATGATTTTAATAGTTAACTTGCACAGATAGTTCATATAGTATTTTTAACACTAAACAGCACTCTCATTGCTTTTGAAGCAGAACACTCAATTTTTCTAAAGAAAACAAAAGATACTTGTGGATATCAATTTTAAAAAATACTGATGGAGTGAAGGACTGTTTTAAAATTATGCAATCTAGACTTAGGAAATAAGGCCAGTAAACACTGAAAAACAGGACTTTTTAGTATAACTTTTCCAGGAAACTTAATTTTGTTTGAATTAAAACTCATATGCACATACACAAGCATGTGTGTACACATACAGAAAACATTAAGGAAGAGGTTCTTTTAATTATAAATGCTATCTGCTTACATATATTTTCCTATGGCATGTTTCAGGTTTAACTTGGCACCGTGCATGTTCCCAAACCATTTTACTCTTCACACAAGCATGTGGACTACTTAATGTATTCTCACTCTAGTTCTCAAAACCATTTGCATATTGAAACTATGCATACATTTTAAAGTCTTAATTAGTTTAATTTGTATTATAAATGCATGCTCTTATAGAAAAAAAGATATACATAGTACGACACTTGGAGAAAAAGAGGAATTATGGAAGCATTTAATGAACTACAATAAAGTTATCCAAGATCTAATCACCCAGAGATTATCATTGTTAGTATTTTTAGGATTGTTCCTTTTATGTATATTTAATTTATACATACAACATAATAAATTACTTGGGAATAAGTTTTTAAGTTACATCATATTGTAAAAACAGTTTGATATCTGACTTTTCTTATTTAATATATCATCAGACTTTTCCACTGCTTTATTCTTCAGTTATGACTTTTATATGTTATTCAATATTCTATCATATTGCCTATCATAATTTACTTAACTCTCTCTGTTACTGGACTTTTAGTTTCTAATCTATTGCTCTTATAAAAGTGATAAGAACATTATATATCACAAGTGATGTAACACATATCCTTATAATATCAATATAGTCCTACAAGTAAATTAATAATAATAGAAATATGTTGCTTTGGGAAAGTATATAGCAGTTTCTTTTCCCATGAACAGTAAGAGAAACTACAATTGCTTCAAGCACTGTAAGCAATTTCATAAAATAAAAACAAAATTTTGGTTTCACTAATGAAAAATTATACCTTGTTATTTAATTCCATTTTAGAAAAGAAGCAAAGATTGATTTATTTCACCTTTGTCTAATGGTAGAATTTTTATTAATGCTTCATATAGTTCAGTGTGTTATATACATTACAAATATTTTTATTTCTATTATGAAATATACTTAAAAGCAATATATATATAAATTATATATATGAAGTATATGTATGAAGTATATGTATGAAGTATATATGCTTCATGAAATACATATATGTATATGTATATGTATATGTATATGTATATGTATATGTATATGTATATGTATATATGAAGTTTGTAGACCACTAATGGTCAATAAATACCCACGATTCCAAAACAGCCTTAAAAAACAAAAGATGAGCATTACTTTAAGGACCTTGGTATGTTGCTTTCCTATCACTTTTCTCCTCTCCTTATCCCAAATGTAATTATTAACTTGAAATTTGTTTGAATTTGTGCCTTGCTTTTTGTAACTTAAAATAACTGCATAGTAAACACTATTCAATTTTGCCTGCTTTGGCAGTTTGTATACATGAGATAATGTTTTGTGAATATACATTGCAAATACAGTGGTACCTCGGTCGTTGAATAGTTGCAAGCTCGAACTTTACTTCAACAGCAAAGTTCAAAAACAAACAAACAAAAAAAAAATATCTGCTGTGTTCATAAGTTAAACGGAAAATCTGACTTGAAAAAACCTCTACCGGCAGAGAGTGAATCACGTGTCACGTCTCGCAGCAGATACAAAGGGCTGATGACACTTTGGTCTAAATGTGGCTCTCCCCTGGAATACACAATGTTTATACGAGTGCATTAAAACTTTCATCACTGTGCTTTTTGTTAATTTTAAAAAAGCTTTATTTGCATAAAATATCATAACCGTGGCTGCAAAGAAAGTTAGTGATATCAGCAGAAGAGCTACGAGAAAGCTGAGAACCAAGACTGAGTTAGACAAGTCAATTTGAAATTTGTTAAAGTCCTGGAGAAATGATTGTATAAGTGCAATTTTGGGGCCTTAGAACCAATTATTTTTTCTCATGGGAAAAATATGTTCAGTTCTCCAACTTAAGAGGAACAAACAGGAATTTGGAATGAATGTCCAGTGCATGAAGCTATAGACATTGATTCCCATTGTCTCTTATTATGTCATAGGCAAATACTTACATTATTGTATTCTTATGAACAATGTTGCCAGCACAGGTCATCCCTGAAGTTTTCATTTGGATATATGCTCTGGTATTTTTTGTTTACTTTGGTTTTTTGTGTGTCTTTATGCAAATAATTAAAAGAGGCATCCTTATAATTTCACGCACATCTTTGTTCAGCTATACCAAATCACTTTTGAAACTAATTACACTAATTTATAATCCTTTCAGTAAAATATGAGAACTTCAGTTGCACTCTATCTTTGGTATTAATGAGTTGAGATAGTACTTTATTGTGATTTCAATTTGTATCTTTGATGGAAGGAAGAAAATATATTTTCTTCAGATTCCATAATTCATACATGGGACCGTCTCCTGCAACAAAAATCAGACTAAGAGAAAAACAAACAAATGTATTAATGCCTGCAGCATGTATTACAGGGTAGTAACATCAGTTCAAAAGTTATTCAAAACAGTGTTTAGGGCACAGTTTCATCTTCAACAAAGACCAAAAAGTCTTAGAAAAAGGACAACGCAAAGAGAAAAGAGCCCTAGATTTTTGTGGATGGGAAAATTGTGGAAAAGAAAGATAGACTGATCTCATTTTGTTCTGATGCCATCTTGGAGCTCACAAAGCTGTAAAGGAAAATTTTTAGCCTTTTCTTGAGGGGGAATGGTGTAGACAAGCATTTTGTATTTGTAGATGTCTATCTAACCTTTAGGCCAATAAAAAGGGAAGGCAGAGAGTCCGTTTACATAACTACTGATAGCTCAACAATCCTTCCTTCAGTGACGGTTCATGTTTCCTCTTCTTTGTGCGTTTTCTTATTTGTTCATGAAAAGTCTATATATTGTGAATAATAACCATTTATTATTGTTAGGTTCACGGGCTGGGTCCTCCACAGCAGAATAGAAAAACCACTCTATGCTTCACACCTTGCCTGCAAGAAACCCTTTTACTCTGGGTTCCCGATACAAGGAGCCCACAGAAGTTGTCCTATACCCTTTGCTTGGTGCCCAAAATTACTGATGTCCTACCTGGACATCCCTGTCTCTTGGAAAGTGTCCACATTTTTACTTGACTCAGTAAGATCTCCGTCTCAACAAAACCTCCCTCCCCTATGTAGACCACCCCTGTAAAATACGCCTGCTGCCCGCTTTCAGGGCCAATGGTCTTTACATCCTTGGCCGGACAGTACCCGGTCTGCATAAAGTTATCGCCATTTGTTTCACCTTAGCCTGCCTCAGTGGTCTCAGTTGTGCATCCGTTTTAGCCTAACAGTTACATTGTTAAAAAATATCTTATTCTACTTATGCTTGTCTGTTTTTATTTTCTCTTTTTCTTTATGTGTCTTCTCTGAACAGAAGAATGACTCTAAAAGAGTTGAATCCCTTGATTTTTGTTGAATAGTTTGTGCCTCATTTAAGAAAACTTTATTTCAAAGTTATAAATTTATCTTCTTAAATCATTTTTTAAAATACTAGTTTTAAAACATTATATGTAAGCTTTTAATCACTCCAGAATTTGTTTTTGTATATCATGTGAGGAAGGGATCTGCTAAAAAATGTCCACATAGATTAATTGTTATTCCAGTATAATTTATTGTATAAACTCTCTCTTTTTAAAAATTGATCTTTGGTTTCATTCTGGCATTTTTTTTTTTGGATACACACATATCTAAACACACACCATACATGCACGTACTTTTAGGTCCAATGAATTATTTCTCCTATTTGCTCAACCTTTTTTCCGTACTAGAGGGTCTACCTTTTTAACTTTATAATCAGTCCTATCTGGTAGGCGAAGTTGCATGTTCTTGGCTTGGATTTTTAAACTCTTCTATAGTAACTTATAAATCACCTTGTCAAGTTTACAAAATCCCCAAGTGAAGAAAGCCTGTAAGTATTTATATTAAAATCTTTTGAATTTTTTTGAAAACTGATTAATAATATTTCCTTATCTGCTGTTCTGACTCATATCTAGATGTCCCCCCAAAGCCTCATGCACTCATAGCTGGGGCTTTTTAGAGCTGGCTGGAGCTAGGATGTATGATACTGGAATTAAGAATGTGTGGTATAGTACTAAATTGGTTCACTGGTTAGAATTAGCACAGTTCTAGGTGACACTACCCAAAAGTGTCCCCTGGTTTTTTGGATGAGATAGAAGGGAAAGGGCTGCCATTGCTGCTGCTTCTGCTGCTTACTGCCTTCTTCCTGCCACCAAGATCTGTTTCTCCTCTGTGATACCCCGCTGCCATACCATCCTGCCTTGGAGTCAGCTGACTATGAACTGAAACCTCTACAAACTGAGCTGAAATAAACCTTTACTCTTTAACTTGTAAGTATCAGGTACTTTTCTCAGATTTGAGAAAACAGACAGTTGCTTTCTTTTCCAATTATGTATTCTTTCAGATGTTTTAACTTTTCCTACTTTTTATGTAAGGTCTAAGATTTATTCTTAAGTGGCTTACTTTGTTGCTGCTATATATATTATCATTAATTAACATTTCTTCTGTATTTATTGCTAATGCCTATTGATCTGGAAAATTTAAATTTTTGATTAGTTTTATTATGTAAGCTACAATGTTAGAGCTCTTTCATAAGTAATTTTACTAACCTAAATAATACCTTCAATTTTCATAATTGGTTTTAAATTTAATTTTTTATATTGTAATTGCTTAAAATATAGACATAGGTCCAAGTTGAAATATACAAAAAAAATAAATATGAACTCCTTCTATGCATATATATTATTTTCATTTTAATCTCGTGCTTTTAAAAAAAACTTTTAGTTTCACTTTAATGTCCCATGGATGGACATTTGAGGCGTGTGTGTGTGTGTGTGTGTGTGTGTGTGTGTGCTGTATAGTTGTTTTAATTAGTAGACCTTCGCTACACCTTTAACATTTTTTCCAAGTGTATCTTTGAGGACTGTTTTTTGGTATATGTTTGCTAAATCAAAAACATGCATGGACAGGTCTGTTTGATACGATCAAATTTTCTTCCACAGGGCTTATATTATTTTACATTTTCACCAGAAATATATGAGAGGGTCTCTCTCCCTCCAGCCTCCCCAACAGAGTGTTTTGTCAAATGTTTAGATTTTGCTAATCTGATACGCACAAAAAAATAGTATCTTAAAGTAGTTTTATTTTGAATTTCTTTCAGCATGAATAATGGTGTAATATTTTTCCTTTGTCTTTAGAGTTTTATAGTTTCATGAAAATATTTCTAGGCATGGTTTTCTTTTTATTCATTGTATTTGTGTTTCACTGGGATTTCTGAATTTGAAAGTTATTTTTCTGCAAGTCTGGAATATTCTTAGCCATTTTATCTTTGAATTTTGCC